CCCCTGAAGGACAGTCTGCTAATGTTTTGTAAAAACTGCATACAAAGTAAACTGTGCTGTAATTAACTCTGTAAGTGTACTCTTATGTTAAAGGAATTATACATGTGATACGCTGAGGGGATGGGGGAGAATCCTAATGACTTGTTTACCTCATCAGTTCTGAAGAGTTCAAATAGATTCTTTTGTTTAATATTATTTCACATTCCAAATTGCACTGCCCCGAAGGACATCTGTGCAATAAGAAATTATCTATTTTTATCATGTTACTTATATTAAATTCTTTGCAATTTAAACTAATGAAGACACACGTAGAAACTATTTAGTGTATTCATTTCTTCCTACTAATACTTGGCCTTTTCACTAATTTAACATGCAACTAAGCTAACTTTTGAAACACACTTGTATAATCCTCAGTGTTACATAATTACAGACCTAAAAACTTTTTTTTTCTGGCAGAAGCATCAATACAAAAACTGAATTTGCTTTCATGAATTATAGGTTACCCATTATGAAATAATATTAGCACTTCCAAGAAGGTACAAAAAGATACTCTGAAATCAGCAGCAATTCAGAAGTTAGTGATGACAGTCACTAAGAAATTTTAAGATATCATATCCTGAAGTCATATCTATTAAACATTTTCACTCATTTTACCATTTTCTTCTGGTAATGTTCAGCTTCCCACCCTGTTTCAGAACTAAATCCAGACAAAACAAACATCACTGTATAAGTCTAGGGACTGAACCACAGGCCTAAGGCCAAGAAATGATCTATTTGGTTGACAAAAGTAAGCATTGAAATAAGAAACATTTTTACTAAACAGTAGTGTTAAGTGAAAATAATAATATACAGCTGTAGTTCTAATATAAGCAAAGAATGCTCAGCAGTGAGTATCAGCAGTTACACTTAACAAAGAAAACATTTGCTCGTTTGCTAAATTTGACTGTGCTGAGTTCGTCTACTAGGAAAGACTGTCAAACTGAAAAACAAAGGTTGAAATCTGATCTCATATTTTACTTGCCTAATTCTGATCAAAATCTGGTTCACGAGTCTAAAATGTTGTGGTGGGTTGGCCATGGGTGGATGCCGGGTGCCCACCAAGCCGCTCTATCACTCACCAATTACCGTCATGGGCAAAACAGACTCGATGTGGGAAAATTAATTAAATTTAGTACCAATCAAAACAAAGTAAGGTAATGAGAAATACAAACTAAGTCTTAAAACACCTTCCCCCAACCCCTCCCTTCTTCGGGGGCTCAACTTCACTTCCGAATTCCCTACCTCCTCCCCTACAGTGGCACAGGGGGCAGGTTTCCTTTTTACCCCCCCTTCTTAACTATGCTATCCCAGAGGTACTTTCACTGTCGCTGATGGGCTTGGCTTTGGCCAGTGGTAGGCCTATCTTGGAGCCAGCTGGCATTGGCTCTATCAGACATGGGGGAAGCTTCCAGCAGCTTCTCACAGAAGCCACCCCTGTAGTCCCCCCCACCTACTGAAACCTTGCCACACAAACCCAATACAGATGTGTAGAAAATCACTTATAACAAACTCCTATATTTCCTGTAGTTAAAAGATATTTGGCTCTCCACGTTTAGCAACTTCAATTATTTTGCAGTTCTGAATAATTAACTATAGACTTCTCAAAATCAAAAGTTACTGACGCTAGCAGAAACTATTAATCTCCTTTCACAAAAGGTATTGAAAGGGAACACAGTTTATGAATTATCTTACTGTTTCTAAACCAGTATACAGACAATATTCTGCCACCTTTAAAAGAAATCTAAAGACAAACTCAAGGACAAGGATGAGGAAGCATATAGTCCAAAGGACTGAAGAAATATTTGGTAGATTCAATCTTGGAAATTATGGGATTATTTGACAACCAAAGCCTCCCTGGAACTCTAAGTACAGTTCAATTTCTACCATATAGAATATTAGGCATATTTCTCTATTGAGCGCTGCTTAAAATAATAAAACATTGACCAATAACAGCATAAGTAATTTGGTAAGCTGAAAAGCTCAGTCTTCTATTAAATCTTTCTTTAAAATGTAAGATAAAATAAACTAAACATTTTCCAAAGGCACTTCAGAAATTAAACTAATGAATAGATAGATAAAGCACTGTATTAAAGACTTTTCCCATTTTTTCTCTGTACTGTACTGCACAGAGGTAGCGTGACAGCACCAGTCTTTCCTACTCTGCAAAATGTCCTATATGGGTTATTGCACAATTAAAAAATTGAGTGACCTCACATTCCTTAGAGCACAAAAGATAATTCATCAATACTGAAAAAACTCTTTTAAAGAGTCTTTTCAAGGAATAGTTGGAATTGCTGGGATAGTTTTAAAGGACACCAGTGTATTACAGACAGTACTGTTCTCTGAGAATTTTTATTTAATATCTGTAAACAACATAGTTCAAGTATAGACTCAAAGACAGACAAAAAACTCCACTCTATGTTGTTTTGGTATAGGTACTGACTACTGTTTCTCAGCTGATATTTACACTCCTTTCAATTTATATATTCTTACTGACTTGAACTGTATCTTTGGATGCATTTTATTTGCCTAGCAAAGACAGTGACCTCAGCTCCACTGTTCAGACAGAACTGAGAGTTTCACTCTTGAAGCAAACATGTGGTTGCACGTGCATAGTAGCAGATACCTGCCACATCTTTCAGTAATTTCCTAATTGCTAAAGGAAGGCAATTAACATTGAACAAGCCACAGACTGGTCCCACAACTGCTCCAAAAAAAGTTTCAGGCTAAAGCAGCATGGAATCCAGCTCCATTCCTCTGGCAGATGAGTCATGCCCTTCTCCTGAATTCTGCTTATCCTCTAGGAGTGCAGAGAAAGTCCAGGTTGTACTTTATACATAAATGGAACTGTATTCATGAAGTACATATATATACATATATGTGTGTGTATATATGCACTTATACACGTGGGAGTAGTAAGTTTTAGTTAATTCACTGAGATTTAAGAGTGATGTGCATAACAGACAAAACACAAAGTTTAAAAAATCCCCAGAGCACAGAAGAAGAAAAAATGTCATTGTCTCTCAGTGGTCTATTCAGCATGAACACAAAGGAGAGAACTATGTAACTCTGCAAGTCAGGTAAGATGCATCAAAGTTACAGTTCTTAAAGTCAGTAAGTATGAATATACAAATTGAAAGGGGTATAAATATCAGCTGAGAAACAGCACACAGTACTTGGACCAAAACAAGGTAGAATGGAGTCTCTATATCCATCTACAAACCTGCACACATTTCTTACATATACTAAATAAAAAGGTATCAGACAACAGCACTGTCTGCAATTCACTAATATCCTTTTGAACTATGCTGGGAAATTCATCATGTAGCCTTCGCAGTTGTTAAAGATAAATTAATGTTGACTAAATTAGCACCAACTTATCTTTGTACTCCATTTTCACCTAGGTTGTCAAAATGTCTTTAAAGCACTTAAACTAGATTGACAAGTTGTACCTGCTATTTCCGCAAGTATAGTTCTATGATCATTTTCTGCCAACTTCACAAATCCAACTTCATTTCTGAAGTGATCAATTCCTTGAAAAGATAATTCCACGGTTTTTCCTTTCAGGAGATTTTCTACAAAATCCTTGCTGTCTGAAAGAGCACCAGCTGCTCTGTCAAGAAGAAATAAAATATCTATGTAAAAGTCAAATATATTAATGCTGTTTACATTGTTATTAATCATTCTATCAAAAAATACCAAAAGGACTTATTAGTATTAATTTATTATCTACTCAGGTACTTTTGCACTACTTCCTACCAATGCAGTCAGTATTATTATTACTATTTTGTAAAGGTAAACTGGTTCATACACCCTGCTGTAAAACCACAGAAATAAGGCAGACCTAGCAGCAGGTGTAATTCCTCAAAAGAGTTAATTTTTATCTCTGTCCTCAAGGTGACTAGATATTAAGATGATAGCATCTCTATTACTCTGTGCATCGCATTTAAAAAAGATGCTTACTTGGAAGGATTTGGTTTTCCATGCTTAAATTAATTCACTTTTTTCATCTGTTGATAGCTGAATTGGACACTCTAAGATTCTGCTTCATTCAAAGTTACTACAGAGTGTTACTTAATATTATAAACAGAGGTTAGTGACTATATATATAATGATAAAATTATATAGAAATCTCTATTAAACTCATTAAGAACTGGTTTTAAAAGTAGTACTAATTAAATTGATAGTTACTTTCTTAAAGAGATAAGTAGCATGCACACATAATCTATACATAAGTTAAGAAACAGGAGCAAACCTGGTAACATTTTAATAATAATTTTAATTAGCCATATTATGTTCATCTAATATTACATGAAATATTTTTTTTTACCTGCACTTGAAGCGATTCACATGCTGAACAAAAATTATATAAACATTCTTAGTGTCTTCCAAAAGATGTCTCACATGCTTACAGCTTTTAATTCTATTCAACAATTTAAACTTTTCACTAAACCGATGCTGAGTTTATAAACGCTAGATGGCAGTGACAGGTTAAAAACTCTCAAGACAGTTTATTTTACTTTTTCTGTCCTAGCTGGATGAAAGCCATCGCCGTGATTTCTAAATTATATTATTTAAGCCTGTACAATTACAAACAACTCTGCACATTTCCATTGTGTTTAACATGACGGACTCTTGATGAGAACTATACATTTAACTGAAACGTAGGCCAGGTTAAGAAAGACATTAAGGTTGATTACATGACATAATATCCTTGATTGCTATAGTCCTCCTGTGGTTTGGTTTGGTTTTTTTTGTTATTTTTTTTATAGGGCTTTAATCTACAACCTAGAGGTACTTGAGCTCCTATATAACCACTTTAAACAGCAATGCCATTACTTGTTCCTTGGCTAAGATATTTTTCTTTGAGCGTAGTCTCTGCCACTTACCTACCCTTTTATCACCATTAGACAAGCCTGTTCCTATGTCTTCTGTATGTTGCTATACTTGAAGACCTTTCAAAAACACCCTCTAATACTGATTATACCTGTCAGATTACTTCACAGCTAATCATGTGTAGATTTATTTACCTACATGAACATGAAAATTGTTCCAAAACAAGTACAGGTATTTCAAATACACTGTGTCAAAGACTGCAGCAGACTTCTGAGGAGTGAATCGTGCACATACCTAAAACCCATCTCTGGATTTTTTGCATCTGAGAACTGGTACACAGAGAGTCATGGAAAGCTCTGTTCCCCAGCTGAACAAAGATTTATATTTCCATACTGTAGGGCGTGCTGCAGAACTCACTGAGCAGCTCAACTCTACCTGATGAGTTCTATGAAAGGTCAATTCAAACAGTGCAGCGTGTTTTCAGTTTAGCACTGTGCCACTGAAGATTTAGTTCTACTTTTTCTTTAATATATAATCTTGTAAACACTAAATTATTTAGAAAAATAGTTGTCAACTCACTCTAGAATATCATGTATTTTTATACTCTATCAATCACTTTATAATATCTAAATTGCTTTGTAAGAATAACGAACAAGGACAAACATTTCCACTGAAGTCAACAGCAACAAACACAACAGTGGTATTTTCTTGTTATTCCATAACAAATACTATTTATAATGCCAAACAGTAGTTACACTCAGTGCAACTAACCCACAGGGAAAACAAAAAAGTTTACGAGCATTTTGCTCCGAAGTGGAGAAAGGAAGTTAAAAAAAAAAAAAAAAAAAAAAAAAAAAAAAAAAAGAAGAATTAAGCAGCATATTCCAAGTGAATACAAACTAGGATTACTAGGAAGCAGTGCCTGTTTTTTTCTGTATTGTTGTAATGTAAATATTCTAGCACTTAAAATTGATGTAGCTTCTTTTTAAAAATTTCTGAATTGGTAATTTTGATTACTTGTTGGAAAAAGCAACCTTGTAAAAAAGCCAAACCAAATCCTTTCAGCTCTCATGTTTATAATGCAAACGTTAGATTCACAGAGTCTTTCACAAATAACATGCAAGAAGCACTTGACACTGTAGTCTGGTAATGAAAGCATTTACTGCTAAAGCAAGCATCTAGTACCTGATCCCATGGCTATGCGGTTAGCATGGATTAGAACTCCTTCGCTTGAAGGGAGTGCTGCCATGACTCTTTCTTGCTTGCTTTCTTTATGGTTTTTAAAATCTCACATTCATGATTTCATACCGTCTCACAAAAAGAAATGTGAAGTGCATTCACGAAGGGTAGACCACAGCCAATCAGTTAGGAAACACATTGGAATTGCAGGTCTGGATTCTTTCAGAAAGAGAAGCCAAGAATACAAATCTTTTCAGGGTGAAACCTGTATATACTAAAATACTATACAAAGGTTTTGTACTGAACTGAATGTTATATTAGCACATTCTTATCACACATATTGACTTCAAATAGCATTCAACACATTGCACTATTGTGCAAACACAGCAGAAAAACTGTGGGTGTCTAAGTAACTTAACAGATCCAAACCTAAGGATCTGTGAACTCTCAGATGCCCAGTTGACCAGCTGCACTTCATTTGAGCGATTACTCTCACCCTACTTTACACATAGGTTCTTTTGCCAGCCTCGATCTTGATTTCCTTCTATTAACCTGGTATCAAAAATTGGTGAAGCAAAGGAAGGAAAATTCAACTTTTTACTCTTCAAATTCTCCCAAAAGATTAAACAGAAAACATCAGTTATTTAAAAAAAAAAAAAAAAAAAAAAGAGAATCCCATATAATGTAAAATGCAATCTAGAATACCTGAGGATAGCTGAGCTAGATACCTGTAGGAGGCACCTGGCCAGGGAAGGGATGAATCACTGGGGAAGCTCTGCTGACTAGAGTACAGCTCCTGGGTGCCTGGACTGTGGAGTTCTGCTGGGAGAGGCAGAGAAGAACTCCGTAAGTAAGTGTTTGGGTGGCAGTCAGACCAGTGAGAACTGAAAAGGAGCTCGAGGAGTAGCAAAAGATACTGAACTTGGGAATATTTGGTTTGCTATACAGTTTAGGACTCTAAAATACTCATGAGAAGGCATACTTAACTTCAAGATACCTTCTCACAATTCCTTTTCAAAAAATTCATACTTAAATCCTTTTTAAAAAAATCTTGCACACACAGTCAGTGGTTGTTCTCACTGATTTTCAGTTTGCTCATGAACCAGGGCAGCAGGAAGCTTGTGTGCCTACTCCAGGGACAAAAGGCACATAGAGACGAGAGGGAGTCCAGCAGATCTAGTATCCTTTGCTTTCCTTTCTATTCTGTGTTCCTGACTATCTTTTTCTCACCCTTTAGATCAGGCCATTGGAGACGAGGATGCTGACCGACTCGCATCCTTGCAGGAGAGGTAAGAGTGTAGAGGCCTCAAGGATATAGCATTCAAGGAAACAAGTATGATTAGTAGTATGCCCTCGACTACCAAATGGTTCCTACATTCTACCTTGGATTCTTACTTTCTTATAAGGAATCTGCGCTTTACAGCCAAACCATCTGGAGGAAAAAAAAATTATTCAACACACACTTACTAGACACATTATTTTGTAACTGTATTACCATAACCAAAGCAACGTCTCACTGCACTTATTCATTATTTAATCTAGATAATTCATGGACCACACGCCTGCTAACACTGCAGAGAAAACCAGGAAGAGATATATATGACAGAGGGCCGCTGAAAGAACTTATCTGGGGAGGTGAAACTGGGAGACTTCTCTTTCCCAGAATTATAAGGATCTGACAATTTTTGATTCATTAGCAATTCACTACAAAATTGACACATAAGCAATGGAGGATTCCCAGATGTTCATATAAAGCCAGTAGGCCATTTATCAGCATTTTACATAATATTCTGTTACAGTTATCAAAGCATTTGTAATCTCAATTGCAATTATAATGTGCACATATAGAAACATCACGTGCAGGCCATTGGGCACCACATCTAAATAGAAACTGTTGAGAAAGTCTGTGTAAAGCAGGACTATAAAATACAATGTATGTTTTCGTTTCGAGTCAAAATTACAGCTAGACACACAAATTATTATTTTGAACATTCATAAATTACAGCTGTATAGACTTAAGTCTGAACGTCTTCATATGAACCACTGAACTTGTACGTTACAGTAAGCTTGTCAGATAGAAGTACAGCACGTGATAAACAGTAAAAAAACACCAGATCTGCATTTTTATAAAGCAAGTAGTTGCATCTAACAGACACCACACAATACATATGCCTTTCCACAACTTTTCTACCTTTTATATGATCAAAAAAATTAGCTATATCCCTGAAGCAACATAAAAATTATACCTTTGATAATGCCTAATAGTCACGTCTCTTTTAGTCTACTTAAATTTTGAGTATATGGACATAAAAAAACCTAAACTATAACTGCATAAGGCATCAGCTTGGAGCTAAGGTTTATTTCCTTAAAGTCTTTCAGTGACAATAACTAATTTGGCTTATAACATTTGCTAAGCTATGAAATTCTGAAAATTCCCTTGTTAATCTGTTCAGCGGCCCCTATATCAAAACATTGGTTTAAAATAATTACTTTATCAAACATGAGATTTGTGCATGCAAGTTCAGCACACAGTATGAAAAATGCAAGGGGAAAAAAAGCATACTTTATTCAGAGCTCATGACATACCATAAGTTATGAAAATAGCTAATATTAAGATTAGTATTTTAAGGAAAACATGAATTAAATATTCAGTAACCCTAGTAATTTAGGACTGACAAAAAATAAGCATGAGTAACCCTTTCTAATCTTTTAATGAACTTCTCCAGCAAAAATACTTGTATATACTTAATTTAACACCAAATACCTACATGTTAATTTCTTCTTCATTGGATAAACGCATCACTAACATGGTGACATGCAACGAGCCAGAGCGAACCATTGCTTTGGAAAGCCTTTGATCCTGTTGTATTATTGCATCTTGGACAGCCTGAACACTGCCAGTAATCTGGGAAGAAAAACAGACACAGAAACAACAGTTAGCCTTTACAATTACTGTATTCTATCATGCAAGTGAACAAGAAAGCACACAAACTGAAACCAAACATTTATGTAAAAACCATTCTAGCAGAAGAAAGTTTTATCCTCTGACAAAGCTGTGCTAATTAACCCGAGTAAACTCAAAGTGGGTACAAATGGAGTGATTAATAAATCAGCAGACATTCCCCATCACATCTGAATTGGAGTTTGCTTCCATAAGTATGATAAATTCCTGGAGTGTATTAAGATCACCCAGTTTCACACTTCTTCAAGGACTTTCTCTGTCCACTTTGCTAAATTTATATGTTGCTATGTGCAGACAAGCGTCTGGAAAAAGAAAGAGGTCTTTGCAGGACCAGGCACATAAATAACAAGAATATTCAGTTAATAATTTCTAGAGACATCAGATTTACAATTCCGATTATACTGTCCAATAGACAGATATAATGTATATGCTCTCTTCAAATGTTTTAATAAATTTCCATACATGCGTATAGTTTTAATTTCATCAGTGTTTTCTTTAAAATTAATTGAATTACATTTTCTTCATTGAAAGTTATTTGTATGGTTATAAATGATTTAGAAATTGTATCCAAAATTTTTACTGTGCTTGCCATTATGATAGTTGTATTGTAGTGATAAAAACAAAACAAAACAACCTGCACCAATTTGTGAATATGCTAGTGCAAATTAAATCAAATCCAATAACCCTGACCATCTGAAAAAATGAGTTATTTCTTAAGCAAAGACAAATCAGCTTTGGTGTACAAAGTCTAAAAGAAGCATGTAGAAAATTTCCATCTGATTTTTTTTATGTGAAACTCAGTGCTGAATGCTTCACAAATATACTGTACGCATTGAGTTTTATAACATAAGCACAAGTCGCTCAGGTTAAAAAAAGAAAAACAAAATAAAAGCATTGATATACATTGGTAGCTCTGTTAATCATAAGGAACACCTAAATTTCCTGAAAAAAAACACAATCTAATGGGATCAGTCAGTACTTTTCTGACTAAATTTTTTAAGATCAATTTTGCCATGCAGGAGTTTTACCTAATGTGCCATAGATATCTACTAGTGCCACATAAATAAAACCAAATTAAAACTGAAAGTAACCAACTCTAGGGAGGGTGACTAAGAGGAAAGAAAGTAAAAGCCACTTGCCAGAAAGAGGTGCTATGGCTTCTACAAAATCACAAGTGTCTTAGGTAGCCTAAGACATATGAAGAGAAAATTTTGATCATAAATCATGTTGCAACAAGACCATCTTCCTTCATATGTGAGAACTGATCTTATCCTGGATAAATAACACTTCTATCGTCTCAGATGTAGGAGAAATTTAACCAACTTTTAAGCAAAAAACTGGTAAGCATAATCTCTGATAATTCCAATGCATTGACTGCATAGTTATTTAAGTTTATAAACTAAAACAAATGCAGTTATCTCCATAAAGAAAAAAAAAAACTCAAATTAAATCACCTATCATATGAATTACAATTTTATTCCATTTTAGTTTCTAAATTTAATTTGCACCTGAGAGCTGGAAAAAAAAAAAAAAAGTAAGTGTACAAGCTCCTCAGAATACAGAAAACAGGTGTGGAACTGTGTTACCATAGCAGTAAGACCATCTTAGCTTTGAAAAAGATCAATGTTATTCAGCATTCAGATTACCAGCCAATATCCCCAGACTCCCTTAGCCATATAGTTTCCTTCAGTAGTACTTCTGAGTCCCTTCATGCTCATGTCCTAAACTACCTCCAGCTCCCTCATATAGTTCAGTTCTGGCATGGGTGAGAAGCAACACGTGCTGTGGCTGTTTTTCAGGGGTTAACTGGCTAATAAACATGCAGATATTCATTCATCAGCTGGCAGGTCTAGAAGAGTAGGTAATTGCCACACTCACACTACTGTCTTCAACAGAAGCGTGTTCTTTCAAAGCTCTCTCTTTTACGCAAGCACCAATTCCACAAAAATGGTAAGAAATTAGTACCTCTGAGGTGTCAATTTTTTTTATCCAAATTTGGACAACAGGTTGAAAACCACCAGCAAGTTCAAAACCTACAAAACCCCAATGGGATTATAACAAGGCAAACAGGTAGGCAGGCTCACACCTGTATAAACTCCATTAGGAAACCAAGCTAAAAAATTAATGAATAATATGCCTTTGGAACAGGACTAATTCCAAAGATGGACAGTTAGCAGTTCCAGAGACAAGCTTTTGCTGAACCCACCAGGAAAGTAGAAAATGAGCTTCCTTTTTCATAAAGGCAAAATAAAAAGAAGACAGGGCGTTCTCTCTCTCTGGCTAAAGTGACATTCTCTCCAATCTACACTACTTAGAAAAAAGAAAAAAGTTTTAAAATACGTTTTTGTGAATTTCAGGAATTTATTTTTAATGTTTTCCCAGAAGTTATGTGACCAAAACGTAACGCAACAGCTGTTGCATAGCTCTGCCATCGCAATGCATAATATAACTTCAGATTTGTTCTGTTTTCTTCAGTAAATCCAAGGTGCAATTAGCAGTTGATTTTTAATTAAATGAACCAGGACTCTTCCTGCATCTCTGTATAACTAGTAATAATCCACTGCATATAAAAACTTTAAACTGCTATTTAGCCTGCTATTGACATTACCGTACAAAGTTTTATGCTACATTTCAGCTGCTATCATACTATTTATTTTAGCTTGAGATTTTTCTAACTTAACTGAAAGAAATGTCTGAAGGCAGATCATACTCAACAACTCCTCCCTCAGATTATTTTTACAAGTGCTCCAAAATAAGGCCTCAAATACTGATTTCAAGGTCCCCTCTCCCATTACTTGGAATATGTTGTTCTGAAGAGCAATAAAATAACTTAGTTTTGCTTATTGTAAGAATACTACTAGTAAGTGAATAAAAAGACTCTAAGCTTTAAAGATTTAACAGATTAATTATAATCAAGATTAGAGGACCCTGAAAGGCTAACCTACCAAGTGATAACACATCATCATAACCCCATGCATCAGTACAGGTTGGGGGTTGACCTCCTGGAAAGCAGCTCTGTGGAAAGGGACCTGGGAGTCCTGGTGGACAACAGGAGTACCATAAGCCAGCAATGTGCCCTGGTGGCCAAGAAGGCCAACGGCATCCTGGGGTGCATCAAGAAGAGTGTGGCCAGCAGGTTGAGGGAGGTTATCCTCCCTCTCTACTCTGCCCCGGTGAGGCCACATCTGGAGTATTGTGCCCAGTTCTGGGCTCCCCGGATCAAGAAGGACAGGGAACTGCTGGAGAGGGTACACCAAAGGGCTATGAAGATGATTAGGGGACTGAAGTAATTTTCCTATGAGGAAAGGCTGAGGGACTTGGATCTTTTGAGACTAGAGAAAAGACAACTGAGGAGGGACCTTATCAATGCTTACAAATACTTAAAGGGAGGGTGCCAGGTGGATGCGAACAGTCTTTTTTCAGTGGTGCCCATGATAGAACAAGATGTACCAGGCACAAACTTGAACACAGGAAGTTCTATCTAAACATGAGGAGGCACTTCTTTACTTTGAGGGTGGCAGAGCACTGGAACGGGCTGCCCAGAGAGGCTGGGGAGTCTCCCACTCTGGAGACATTCAAAACCTGCCAGGATGCCATCCTGTGCAACCTGCTGTAGGTGAACCTGCTCTGGCAGGGGGGGTGAACTAGATGATCTCCAGAGGTCCCTTCCAACCCTGACAATTCTGTGATCAGATAAAACATAACTTAAAAAAACAAAAATACCAGAAAGGGATACAATGCTAATCATCCATTTAACTGCTTTTGCACAATTTATAATGCAAAGTTCAATATCAATTAAAAATTAATGGAAAACCACATTTTATTTCTGAAGATTCAAAACATAATTAAAATGAAAACAAGGAAACTGTTAAATTTCCAAGAGGAACAGTTCTTTAAATGTTCCAGAAATATCCCTTACTACAAAATGGTGTAAAGCTTAAAATACTACATAAAATAAGAAGAAAGAGTACTAATGCCTAAAACACTTCACTGGAATAAAATCAGATCCTCAAAAAAACCAAGAAAAGTCTCTCATTACTAACTAAAACACTTCCAGTAATTACCAGATTCCCTCTGGCTATCAAGAAACCAGGTGTCTTAACTCTAAATTTTGGCTAATGTTGCCTATACAAATTCCAACGTGTATTTTCTACTTTCAGAACAACTCTACATCTAAGGCAAGTATAAACAAAACCTTCTAGAAAAGTCCTAGAATTCCCAAATGCTCCGAGATTTAATATAGCTGTTCCTTTAGCTCTAAAAAATGTAAGACTAAATACACGACATATAAAAAAGCAGGCATAGTTAAGACTCAACCAGCCATTCAACATGATAACAATCATGAACAGGAATTCTCAATTACCAGATTATATAACCCCGACATTATTCTTGCACTTGTTAAATCATGGAACAGACAGGAAGAGAAGATGTTTCAGAGTAAAATGGCACAAAAGATCTCCCACAATATTGATGTCAGGCTATCCTGGATCTTATAAAACCAGCCTCTACAATCTCTTCTTCACATAGTATGTTTTAAAGAATCAAAGACTTCCCTGTCATTTTCAACCTACTATAGTTTACTTCCATTTCAGATTCTCTTAATCTTTGACTTCCTCAGATAACAGATAGTACAGATGTAGGATGAGTTAAAATTCACCTGAGAGCGCTCCTGGTATTTAAAAAAAACCCTAAATTTGGAAACTGTTTGGTTTAACTTTTTAAACATAATGCAACTACTTTGCTTGTTTGCAGACACAAAAGATGTACCAGAGACACCCCACAGCATGTAAGAAATCATTCTCACTCACCGTCTAAATGAAACAACACATGCTAACTACATGAAAATACATTTTCTTAAAGAGCTCTCTACACTTCTTGAATCCATGTGAACAACATCTCACTAAAATAGGCTGTTTGAACTTTAAATAAGATGACCAATTTTACTGGAAAATTTTAAACAACAAACTGCCTAGTTAAAACAGCCACAGACCCAAATTTAAAGGAGAGCTAAAAATATTGCTAAGGATTTTCTTATTAAATTAAACAGGAATGTCTCTCTTTCTTATTCTCAGTGAATGACAAAATAAGCAATACTGGTCTAGTACAGAGGGGAAAAATTAAGCTAGCTTCAGTCAACATAATGTGAAATCCATAAGACTGACAAACTGAATAAAAAGATAAATATTTTTCCTCTAGTCTTTCCCAGATAAGAAATTTTATTCACAAAAAATGTTACATAAAATAAAGTTACTCTTTGAATAGGCTGCTAATGTTTCTTTAAAAATGTTAAAAAATTATTTTGCTCAAGATCCAACACTGTTCTTATAAACACATGCAGCTGTTGAAGTAATTCTGGTTATACCAAATTAGTATAATAAAAAATATCACCTCTGGATTAGTAATTGGAAGAGAAATGAAATAATTCGGCTGATACTGTTTCTTCTTTTTCTTCTTTGACTCACTGCCTTCTTCAATTTCTCTTCCAGTACTTGTCTGTCTTTTCTTTTTTATATTCATTTCAGAGGTTGCATTCACTGAAGAGAAAAAAAAAATTACTTTCAGCATACAGACAAATCAAAACAAAGATACCTGGTAGAAAAGGACCTGGGGGTGTTGGTCAACAGCAAGCTGAATACAAGCCAACAGTGTGCCCAGGTAACCAAGAAGGCCAACAGCATCCTGGCTTGTATCAGAAACAGTGTGGCCAACAGGACTAGGGAAGCAACCATCCCTCTGTACTCAGTACTGGTGAGACTACACCTTGAGCACTGTGTTCAGTTTTGGGCCCCTCACTACAAGAAAGACATGGAGATGCTGGAGCATGTCCCGAGAAGGGCAACAAAGCTGGTGAGGGGTCTGGAGTACAAGTCTTACGAGGAACAGCTGAGGGAACCGGAGTCGTTTAGCCTGGAGAAAAGGAGGCTCAGGGGAGACCTTATCGCCCTCTACAACTACCTGAAAGGAGGTTGTAGTGAGGTGGGGGTCGACCTCCCAAGTAACAGGCAATAGGACAAGAGGAAATGGCCTAAGTTGCACCAGGGGAGGTTTAGATTGGATATTAGGAAAAATTTCTTCACCAAAAGGGTTGCCAAGCATTGGAACAGGCTGCCCAGGGAAGTGGTTGAATTGCCATCCCTGGAGGCATTTAAAAGACATGTAGATGTGGTGCTTAGAGACATGATTTAGTGGTGGACTTGGCAGTGCTAGGTTAACACTTGGACTCGATGACCTTAAATGTCTTTTCCAACCTAAACGATTCTATGATTCTATACACTTAATATCATGCCAACAGGAGCTGGACTTCAGTCAATTGACTGGAGGACGTCTTTCCACTCATCTGATATTGCCGTGCTCCAAACTGTCTGACTGGGATCCTACTCCAACCTGAATTAATGTAGTCACACAAGTGGAGTACCATACTTGAACTATCAGCTTACACCTCTAAGGAGGGCTTACCAGCTGCTAGCATAGACATGCAGATTCCCAACTACTGTGTTTCATTTAGCCAACTCACACTGCAGTGTAATAGGCCTCCAAATTGTCTACACTTGAACATGGACATGACTTTAGAGCAAAAGCACCAATATTAAGTTTCAAAAATCCCATGCATGCTGCATTTTTAAATATAAAGCAAGATAACGCATTGGATTATTAAAGGTTGTATTAGACTACGACTGTCCAACCTATAGTTCAAGGACTAAACCCAGCCAAGAAGAAAATTTAATCCAAGCCAGATCTACTCTTTCTACCTCCTCCTTTCCCAAACACCCTTTCCAACACAGACAGCAAAATAAAGTGCATGTCCTCAATTCTTCCTTTGCACCATAAACTATTTTTCTCCCAGCTTATTTCCTCAAGACTTCGCAGACCCTCTCCCACCATGTGGCCTGATAAATACCCATAAGCCGACCAGGCTGCAGACATCTACTGTCCAATTAGAGGTGCACTTTTAGCCCCATGCTGGGAACACACATACTGGAAGATAGCTCATAAAAACCACTATGCTAGAAACTAATATACAGTAATGTGAACTGATATAAGAGATGTCTTTATTCTGTGACTCATTGCTGCAATGGATCACAAAATGGCAAATTTTTAATATGCTCAGGTATTTGCAGAACTGAGTACCTATAAGAGTGGTTCTGGACGGAATCCTGTTCGCAGGGAGACTCTGTTCCATGTGCACAGCCCATGCCTATATGGCAACAGGCAGGACCAAGAACTGAGTGTGTGATGTATCTACGCTTCCACACTACTTCTATTAGCAAATTCATCTTCAATATATACTTACTAACAAATTCATCTTCAGTATCTGTGTTGACAAATGGCATTTCCGCCATCAGAGATCCTACCGAGTCAGCAGGACATGGCTCTTTTCTCTGTTTTGTCCTTTTCTTATTATTTTTAAAGATTTTCTTTTGCTGTACATTTTCCAGCCCACCTGTAATATATTTAAAATGACACACTGGGTGTTAGTTTTTGATATAAACAGCTAAGAGATGCTATACACAAGCAAGTATACATTTCTCTAGTTATCAGCAAATGAATACTGACGTAGAACACCCTTAAGAATGCTGCTCTTCTTCCTTGTCAACATATCAGCAAAAACACTTTAACACTTTATGCAGAATAGCAAAAAAAGGGAGTTTAGCCTTCTGTATTTAATAACTTATGGTCTTGTTTGGTTCGAAGGAAATGCAATTACATGCAAAAAAAGGGGAATACTTGTAACCGAGAATAAAAAAAATAAAGTCATCAGCCATCATGTAAAGTTCATTTTAGATAACAGTAATGGCATGTGAAATTCAGTGCAGACAAACACTGGCAAATGAATTCCAATGTAAACACACTGAAAATGAGGCACGAAGGAGCAGGAAGGGAATCCCACCACCCCAGATATAACAAAGAGTTCTCAGCTGACTGTATCATTCAGGAATGAGATGATTATTCTACTCCTGCATCTCCCACACAGCATAACATGCAATAGAGAGTAATGATCTGAACTTCTGGTTCTAAAAACTGATTTTTAGTGTTTAAGCTAAAGAAGAAATAAATATAAATTAAAACCCATCTTGCATGTATAAAGAGATACATGAAGTTCTATCATCTCAAGAGTAATACCACAATGACAGAATAATCTCCAGTAACAACGAGTTTTTAAAAATGTCTTTTTCCCCCAAGAGTAATAACTAAGCATGAGTCATTTCCTTACGTCTGCTTCATGTTTCTGCATCAGTAAACTCTAATATTTGCGTATTAAGTTATATCTTAAAAAATGAAAAAGTAAAATCTTCTCTAGCAGCAAAAAATGTGCACGCAACCAGGCATCCAGCAACATTCTTTTGGGACAACTCCACAATGGGATTACTGTAGTGGAAGAAGCCTTATGTCAGAATTGCAGTTTATCCCAGGACAGCTCATTACTACAGACAACGCACTTTCAAAGCTCCTCTTGTGACCAGTGCAGATAGTCCAAATCTGACCCAAGGGGAAAATCTGGCAGCAAAAGTGCATATTATGTTCTTGTGGCATGCAGAGCTACACTACACGTATAAAATCAATATTACAGACCCAATCTGGGTTATTAACACCCTGTGGACTGTTTCTCACATATATCAGTGTAGTAGGGATGACAAGTAAAAGAATGACCTGATTAAATGCTTATTCACTCCAGTTTAAAGTAGGCAGGCACAAATCACTCTGTGGTTGTGGTCTCACACCTAATTTTATCCCAGTGGCTATTAAAAAGAAACTAAGATTTGTTGCTTGTTCCCCCTGTAGACACTGAAGAACTAGGCACAACAAACAGTTGTTTAAGCAATAATAAAATTATTACTTAACATTTAGATTAAAGTAAACCTCACACAAAACACATTGTTGCTGGTAATCCAGAAGCATACAGAAAACAATAATCCTTCCTTCAAAGAGATTTCAAAGTGAAGGACAAGACAATCCATGAAACTGACAAACAAGTAGGTCAGTCTGGGGCACAAAAGTTACCAACAAGATTCAGAAATTCAGAATCATAACCTGCTGGGAGCAAAAGGGATTTGTTAAACTGCAGAACAAGGACTCACAAAAATCTGAGGGGTGTATATTGCAGATTACACATTTCCTTTGCTCTGTCTGCTCAAAAAGCAACATACTTATGCCACTTGAAAAACTGTGTCCACTCACAATAGCAGATGACCATAGCAAAGGCACAGCTAGCAATTAACAATGTCCCTTGTCAAATCAATTAGCTGAACTGAACATGCACTGCTGCTAAATTCTACAGGTTGCGCCTCAAGCAAAAAAAAAACCTCCACCCCTCACCTTTTCTGAAATATTTATTAAAGAAATCAGCAACAAAATTCAAGTGTGTTCTAGTCACTAAAACTACCTGAAAACAAGATTTCTCAAAATTCTTGACATAATGTTGGTAATCTGAGACCTACGTAACAAAACCAGCTTTCACAGGTACTCCTTGACCATTAAACTGTTATAGGATAAACTCTTTTTTCTTGATCACATGATTAATTATAGTAACCTGAATTTCATATATGAGCAGGTGCATAAATTATTCTGATATTCATACTTGTTTAAGTGGCTGCTGATCTTCACCAGAACTTAAGTAATCTGTTGCAGCAGAGAAAAAAAAAAAGCACAATACACCTAGCTCATAAAGGAGATAATACAAAAATAAGGAGCAATAAAACGTATTTGGTTGTACTTTTCCCAGCCCTCTTGTCTCCATGCTTTCATTATAGTTTCAGATAGAACAATCTTCTATTATTTGACACCTACACTTTAGAGATCACAGTGAGATTAGGTCTCCAGGCACTGTTCCCTGTTCAATATGTTTATGTTCACAGGTTTAATATGTTTATGTTCACATGTTTAATAACAAATGAATCCCTTCGAGACAATTTAACTGAAAGCTCATGTAGAACTAGACGGTCTTACCCTCCAGGAATTTTGAACTCTCGGGGCTGGCAGTAGCGTTTACATAATCAGAGAACTGAAGAAGCTTTAAATAAATAAATAAATAAAACTTCGGGGGGAGGGGGAAAAAAAAAAAAAAAAAGGTAGGTTTGGCTTTCAGCCAAGTCAGACGCTCCCACTGAC